TTGAGCAGTTATTGTTTGTTTAGGGAGTTCGGTAGAATTATTAGATTTTTCCCACATTTGCCCTCAAATTAATTTTTAAGTCATTTGAATTTTGAGGGTAATTTTGTGTTTTCGAAAATGAAGCTCACAGGTCCTAAAGCCTGGCTTCTATTAATAATAGTAATAGATACCTTCTAGGGTTGATTTTGGGAAATCCCCCTCAAATTTTGTTGGGTATTGCAGATAACCCCTTGTACTATTTAAATTTGAGAAAAAATCCCTGAACTTTTAGGGTGTTGCAGATAATTCCCGTGGACTTTTTTATAATTCCACTAAACCCACAAGAAATCTTCTCACTTAACTAACCCAAAGCAATACCATTATGTCTAACGTGTCACGCCCTAAGCACGTGACAAAAAAGAGGAAAACACTCTTAAGCCCTCATAAATTACCCTCTTTTGTTTTAATAAAATTTTCCGAAAAAACCGTCACATTGTAATGGCTGAGTACCAATTTAAGTAGTGATTAATTAATTTAATTTGATTTAATGATGAGTTAGTTTTAAAGGGTATTTTTATCTTTTTATAAAGGCCATTAACACCGTCAGAGGGTTAGTTAGGACAAAAAGTTTGGGTGTTATTTGCAACACCCCCAAAGTTTGGGGTGCTTCTCGAATTAAGGGATACATGCAACACTCCTCAAAGTTCAAGGGGGTTTCTAAAATTAGCCATACCTTTTAACACACTTTCCAAAGTTATTTTAATTTTGAGCAGTTATTGTTTGTTTAGGGAGTCCGGTAGAATTATTAGATTTTTCCCACATTTGCCCTCAAATTAATTTTTAAGTCATTTGAATTTTGAGGGTAATTTTGTGTTTTCGAAAATGAAGCTCACAGGTCCTAAAGCATGGCTTCTATTAATAATAGTAATAGATACCTTCTAGGGTTGATTTTGGAAAATCCCCCTCAAATTTTGTTGGGTATTGCAGATAACCCCTTGTACTATTTAAATTTGAGAAAAAATCCCTGAACTTTTAGGGTGTTGCAGATAATTCCCGTGGACTTTTTTATAATTCCACTAAACCCACAAGAAATCTTCTCACTTAACTAACCCAAAGCAATACCATTATGTCTAACGTGTCACGCCGTAAGCACGTGACAAAAAAGAGGAAAACACTCTTAAGCCCTCATAAATTACCCTCTTTTGTTTTAATAAAATTTTCCGAAAAAACCCTCACATTGTAATGGCTGAGTACCAATTTAAGTAGTGATTAATTAATTTAATTTGATTTAATGATGAGTTAGTTTTAAAGGGTATTTTTATCTTTTTATAAAGGCCATTAACACCGCCAGAGGGTTAGTTAGGACAAAAAGTTTGGGTGTTATTTGCAACACCCCCAAAGTTTGGGGTGCTTCTCGAATTAAGGGATACATGCAACACTCCTCAAAGTTCAAGGGGGTTTCTAAAATTAGCCATACCTTTTAACACACTTTCCAAAGTTTTGCGTGACTGACCAAAGCATGTATTATTACTTCGATGTTTTTCCCCTTCTCTTTTTGTCACACCCCGCTTTCCAAAATATCTGGGAATCGGAACGTGAACAAGCCCGCGACGTAATAGATTGAGAAGAAATATATACTACTATTTTTTTTCTTTTCTTCTCAATCCAATACGCTAAGCATCTAGAAATAAATACAATGCGAAGTCACAGGTCCCGATCACAATCAGCAAGAATATAATAGACAAACTCAGAATAAAGAAATATCATATCACAAATAGGATCACATCCGAGACATAAAATACGGGTCAAACATGCCCTTATACAAACTATCTGAACAAAGAACACTGAATAAATATGAAATACATGATCAAGCGGAAAAGGAAATGCTACAAAGTAAACTAAGATCATCGATAACTAGAGGGAATAACTAAACTTCGGCTTCTTCTTCTGCTTCATCTACAAGGCACTCCTACTGAGAATCTTCTGGCTCCTGTTGAACCTGTTCTTCCTCTAAGTCTGACGTACACCAGAGAAAACAGGTGTACGTCAGGTGCATGACGCACGGCAAGACCCGACCCCACAAAAAAAATAGAACGAACGGAAATCAAATGCGAAAAACGATACAATAACAGAAACAACAAAAGAACGTACAACTGAAATCCACAAATCAACATGAAAACACTACTAAATTATGATAACATAAAGCATCCAGAATCGATCAGGTAACGAGATCATGTAGCTAGTGATCAGTCTAATCATCCAAGTAACAGGGACATACAATAGATGGAATTAATACTTAAAAATCTACAACATGCGACGTAGTACGTCGAGCGAAATAATCCAAACAAGGAAACCCTCATGTATATACCATATGTCTCGAATTGTAAATAATTAAATATTAATCCCGATCTATGTATGAAAAGAAACACAACTGGCCTACATCTCACAAGAATTCATACCTAGCCAAGAAACGAGTCTTGCAACTAGCCATCCTATACAGGTCACTGGTTCACATCTCACACAGAGTCAACACTCATATCATCGGATAACTAACTGTTCATAAATCCTCTACGTGCATTCAATACGCCGCTACACTGGATCGGTCAGAGGGCTACACGCAATCCGATTCCGGCCTTGTTCGAACTCAAGCAAGAATCAGGTGAATATCAAGCTCACGGACCAAAGTGGCTACACCGGCTCCACTTTGACCCAACAAACCAACCCCAAGCTACACTAGATCATGAGGAGGCCTGGAAGATACATCAACAGCCTTATCCGATCACATGAACATGGACTTTCACATCCCAACTCTCTTGTATTTTCTAAATCAACAATATTCCTCATTGAAACTCGGGTTCACCTAAACTCAGTCAACACACCCACACATGTCACTAAGTCTGTTCATGACGCACGAGGCCACTAAGTCATGAACTGCTAGGGGTTCTCAATTTCAATAGGAAACAATAAGTACAACCAATCATGCGCAACGATATCATGGCATATCACATAATTAAAATGAGAATCACACCTTTAAAAATAATCCTTTAAATTAATAAATTTATTTACTTCAAAATGATTCTTTTTTTTTTCTAAAAATAGCTCTTTTAAATAATTCTAAAATATTCATTAAATGTTCTTTTTAATATTCACTATTCCAAAATAATTTCTTTTCTCATTACAATTAATATAAAATAATTTCTTTAAATTATTTACAATTATTCTAAAAATGATTCTTTCTCCAAAATAATTTCCTTTAAATTATTTTAATTTTTCTAAAATGATTACGTTCTTTTTCAATTAGCATAATTATCTAAAAATATTTCCGCTGCCAAAATAAATTCTTTTAATTCATTATAATTATTCTAAAAATGTCATTTATCATAATATTGTGATTTACTTAATATTATCCACCAAACAATTCCATGCAGATAACTATATCACAAACTAAAATATGCATAAATTCATAACTTCATCAACAAGCCCACGCAGATAATTATATCAGTCTAAAAATACTTGATAAAATACAAGGTGAGCAAGGGATCTTGCCTCAGGGTTTCGTTGGGATGTCTCAGCTCCGACGGGCTCGCTGACGGCTAGAATGTGGCGGTTCTGCAGCTGGATATGCGTTGGCATTTCGTCGAACATGTGGTGTGCGATGGAGGCGCTGGTTGGCGGTGAGCTCAAAGGCGATGGTGGAGCTCGCTGGCGGTGGCTCGACGCGGACAGCGGTGGGGCAAGCTCAGGGGTTCAGATAACGGCGTCGGGGAGACTGGTGTCGTGGGGGGAGGCGGTACTGCAGCGCGCATCGGGTCGTTGGAGACTGAGCTCGCAGCTCGAGCTCGAGGGGCGGGCGCGACTGCGGGGGGTGACTGGCGGGGTGACTGACCCTGGCGGTGACTAGCGGCGGTTCGTCGAGGCGACGAGGAGAGGAGGCGGTGTTGGCGACCAGCGGCTCGGGGTGAAGTTCGGCCCCCGGCTGCTGAGGACCGGCAAGGGCTAGCGGGGCGGCGCCAGCTGGAACCGCAAGGCGCACAGGCCGACCGGGGGACGCAGAGGGCGAGGGGTT